CCCCCCCGTCCTGACGGGATTATGAGAATAGTTCTTAATATTTCTAGTGTCCAAAGAGGAGTGTGACTTTGCATGAGGAATGGCCAAATTCACAGTATTCAAAATGCCTTCTATTACCTGCACATTAGAGCAGGTATTGCATTGTACATAACCAAAATTGATTAAAAATAAAGTACTGACACTTACACAGCTCCGTCTCTGTAACACATATCCAGGTAAAGAGAATCCATCTGAAGTAAGTGTGGCACTCAGATGAGCTGCACCGGTTTGGGCAGTATTCCAGGAAGCATCAATGTCTTTCAAAATATTTTCCTACTGCCAGCTTTGATACTTGATTCTTTGAAATACTCAAAAAAAAATTTCAAACCTGCAATTTGTAATTTACTGCCTTCAGGCTTATAAGAGTGCTAAAAACACTTGTCTGACTAGTGTTCATTGATTTATTTTTTTTTTTTTAACTTGATTGTTTTTAATGTGGACTAAAAAAAAAGTGGGGTTTTTTTTAAAATTAAAAAAAAAAAAAAAAAAGAGAAAAAAGAGTATTTTACCTTTTGGACCTGGGTTTCCGGGAAATCCAAGCCCTGGAAAGCCCGTCACCTGTTGGTTTTAAAATTAAAAAAAAAAAAAAAAAAAAGAAAAAAGAGTATTTTACCTTTTGGACCTGGGTTTCCGGGAAATCCAAGCCCTGGAAAGCCCGTGTCACCTGTTGGCCCTGGATGTCCTGAATCACCTGGCTCACCTCTTGCTCCAACCCTACCTGTACAAAGAAAATAAGTAAACTGATGTATCTCACCACAGAACATCAACTTGTAAGATTAGGTGGTTTATAGTTTATCATTATTAATTGGGACACCACTGTAGATTATATTAGAACTTAGACACTATTTCTCCTCCACAGTAGGTTTTCACAGTTAAAATGCTAATTGTGTTCACAGTATCAAAGCAGGCATGAGCCTGTGACTGAAGTTTTTATGCAATCTGCCCAAATTCCAGACTTCTAGGAACAGTTACATGCAGATACAAATCTTCCACTTGTTGAGAATATATAAGCACACTTTATAGGGGTGAGGCTTGGAACAGAAGCAACTATAAGAACAGAAGCTATCATAAAGCTGCCAAGAAATTTTCCTATGGTATTCAGGGCAGCTTTAAGGACTATCATTCTACAAAACCAAAGCAAAGATGCCTTATGGTTAGCCCAGATGTCACTTACTGTCCCTCAGTGCATTCAAAAATTCTGCAAAATTTAACACACCAGCAACCAAAAAAATCCTACCTAGAACCCAAGCCCAAAACCCACCCAGAAAAGGAAACTCAGGTTCTTAATATCTTAGAACAATGGTTAGTAACAGTCATGTCAAAAAGGAACTGGGAAATTTAGTAATACAGTTACTTTTTTGACTGTGCTCCTGCAAAGCATGAGAAGGGCCAAGGGCTTGAGGAAGATTAAGAATGCTTTAACCTGATTTTGTTCCTTCTGCTTTGAAGGTTGCAGCAGTCCCAGCATAATTTAGGATAGGCTTTTGTCAAAGTTATGCCAGAGGCCCCTTTCTGGATATACAAGCTGCAGCATATGCACCAGATGTTTCCAGTTCCTGGAAGAACCAAGTCATAGCAGAGGACTGCTTGGAATCTGCCATACTGCACACCATGGACATGGCCCCGTGTGCCCTTCCTATTCACATCCACTTCCCCTAGTTTTCCTGAAAGGGAATGTTACAGCTAATTCCATAGTTTCTGTACCACAGAAATCCTTTTTATAGTTATTTCAAAGTAACCCGACAGTTTTATTTGGCCAGAGCTGGGAGAGAAATCCCAATCAGATTATCTCTGATTTTTACTGTGTTTAGTGCAGATATACTCACCAGGCACTCCTGGGGGTCCAGGTAAACCATCTGGCCCTTGAGGTCCGGGCAACGCAGGTAATGGAGTTACCCTACTGGTCTCTCCTTTCAGACCTTCAGCAAATACATAATCAAAGAATACAAAGGCTTATAGTTTGGCAATATGTAATCTTAAGTATTTAAAAATATTAGTGATCAATCTACTCGGTTAAAAATGCAGTCTTCTACAGTTCCCATATTTCTGAAACTCCAACAGACTTTGAAAAGCCTTCAGATCCTGGCTTCATAAAGCAAAAGAATTTTATTGACACCAAGCCCACCTGCAGCCTTCCTCTCAGCCCTCCTGCGGTCTACTGGAGACCCAGAAAAGGAAGCACAAAGTCAGAAGGAAAATGATGCAACTGAGAAATGCTTACTCTGTAACTCCATTTCATAAAGATTTAATGGGTATTCTCTTCAAGAAACCTTGACTATATCTGCTGTCCAACTTTGAGTTCTTCCAGATTATGCTTGCCTATAAATACATATACTGGTATGTTTTCAGCACTCAAAAATGATGAGGTTCTTCATATTTTCCCCTGATGACTTAGCTCACACTAATAATGATGACTGGATACATATTTAAAGACTTCCCCCCCCCCCCCCATGATGAGGACAGTCAAGCACTGGAACAGGTTGCCCAGAGATGATGTGCTGCCTTGGTCCTTGGAGATTTTCAAGGCCCAGCTGGATAAAGCCTTGGGTAACTTGGTCTGATCTCATAGCTGACCCTGCCCTGAGCAGGAGTTTGGACTAAAGACCTCATAGGGTCCCTTCCAACCTCAATTATCTTATGACCCTAAGACTTTTGCCATTACCTCCAGTGGGACAAAAGTTGGAACAACACTGTGGAAATCTCATCCCAAGAAAAAACTTCCTATGTTTCACAAATTATGTCTTTGACTTCAATCTGTCTCTGCAATTTCAATCAAGTGCTCTTTAACATAGGTAAAACAGGAAGTTACAAACCAGCTTCTCCAGGTAATCCAGGTGGACCAGGTATTCCTTTAGAGCCTTTGAAACCTCTTATTCCTTGTGGTCCATATCCTGGCAGTCCAGGAAGCCCCATCTCTCCAGGAAGACCAAGACTACCGGGCAATCCAGGTAGTCCTCTATCTCCTTTTGAACCAGCCAGTCCCTATTAATGATTACACGTGTGGGTATACCAAACATTACTTGCTTTCCACACCAGCTTTCATAACAAAATGCCCAATTCTCTGTCTGACTATAATCTTGCATTACTTTAGCAACAGAGTAGCTCTGATAATTTAAGAGGAATTTTCCTCTGATTTACTTGTGATTAAAGGAATATAAATTTTAATATCAATGGTTACAAATAGAGGGCTATTAGGAGTTAAATAGTACAAATAAATACAACAGCTTTATTTTTCAATCGCTGTGGCATTACACTGTACACTTTTTTCTTTAAAACAGGTTTGGTAAAAAAAAAAACACCACCAAAAAAACAACAACTCTCAGCTCTGATTCTCCTTGAATACTGTCGAGTCAGGTTTAGAGAGTTATACCTCAATCACTTTTACAGTTTCTCAGACAACGCAACACAACAATTGTTACTTTTTGTTTCTGCTGAACAAAGAGCTCTGCCCTAATGATTCTAGATTTATGGTCCGTCCTCCCAGCTTTTATGGTTTTTCTCAGCCCTGACTGAAGATTAACTCCCAAAGACTGAAAAGGAATTATTTGAATTATTATTTCCTTTTAAGCATTATAAGTAGTCAGGAAAACTGCCTTTTTTTTTTTAAAATCTTATTCATCGTAGGAAAACTGCCTTTTTTTTTTTCAAATCTTATTCATCATAGGAATCCAAGATAACGCTCCAATATAAATATCCAAACTAACACCACAATAGAATGCCAAGGTTTTTCAGCAACGTGTATCTACACTAGCCTCATCTCTCCAGTATTACATAAGAGTATTTACTCTCATTCTTTCACACATACTGGTTATGCATATTGGTTGCTATAGTTGAGCATAGTACCCCTAAGCCAGGCAGAGGATATTCAGTAAAAGTATCTGAATAGATAAGACAGGCTGTTGTACAAGATATAAATACTGACTTAGGTTTTCATGAATTCTATATTAATCGCAAACAGTGCATGCCCACCTCTTCACCTTTAGAACCCTTGGATCCTTTAGAACCAGGTCTTCCCAGAAATCCACTTGAACCTTTTCTTCCTTTGTCGCCCCTGGCCCCTGGATCTCCTCGCTCACCTTTTGGCCCTTCTGGATACACATATCCTGGCTCACCTTTTGATCCTTTATGTCCTTGATCTCCTCTAAAACCCGGAGGTCCCTGGAACAAAGCAATTAAAAGCATTTCAGTGCTAGACATATGTCAACTGTTTTCAAGCTTTCTTTTTTTAAATTAAATACCCGAGAGTGGTTCTCTCTATCCTCATCTTTATTCACTCCAATGGCACACTTCAATGAACAGGGTCTTTTGGGGTTGTTTTTTCTTTTTCTCCTGTCTTTACTCCTTTTGGCCCTGATTATAATTTCATTTATACTACTATAAGCAGGAATAATGCAGGATCATTTAATGGATTAGACTGTTAGCTACCAAGTTGTGCTTTGGTGGCACAAAAAGAAGGACCAGAAAGTACCTCAAAATCTAATTAGAGATTTCTCCCCCACATGGGACTCTCTCCCCAGGGACACTATAACAGTCACAGTTGGCTCTGTTCGTAGTTAACTTCTCCTCTCCCTTCTTTCCCCCTCAGGGTACAAAGTGGGTACTCTATCCCAGCCAAAACCAGTACAAGCTTAAAGTATGCTGGGCTCTAGTGATCTTGGGCCCATGAACTCTTGGGAACCTTCTGGAAAAACCTGTTAGCAGACTCTTTCATTCTGCATCTGTATGGCAACCACCACAATGAATACATGTGCGTGATGTTTTTTTAGTGGACAGCACCGACTGTAATTTCTCATGAATAATTACTGCTACAGGCACAAGTTAGAACAACCAAGTGGTATGTCTATGGCAGCAGGTGTCAGCCTTCCCTCTTCATAATGTTTCCCAAGAGGGAATGTCCTTTGTACCCCTGAAGAGGGTATTATGAGAAGCAAGTTTCTCTGCACATCTGGGGCTTTATCAAGTCCTGAGTATGCTAGAAACAAAAGAAGTAAGAAGTTTGACGTTGATCACAGCACACAAAACTCTATATATGCTTTACAGCCACTGCCATGATTACAGAATTATGTAGATGAACAGAAGTTCACTGTAAACTACCCATATCAGGCAGAAGCAGCAGTCTAGCCATCATGAAATACAGCACAGGTTAATCACACAGTTATTTACCTGCCTCACTGCTTGGGCTGAACTTCTTGCTGCACTGAGCAAAACAGGCTCCTGTAAAGCTAGGTCAGCTATGTCCACATTACAGTCTCTACCTAGGCCTCCCATGCAGACACATTCATTACTACAGAAAGAAAACTGTTGAGATCACCCAGTATGACACTGCACGTAACACCAGCCATGAGGTTTCTCTGAAATAATTCTTGTGGGATCTGAAAAATAATCTGAAAAACCCAAGTCTTACTTGAGCTCCTGGAAACCCCGGTGCTCCTGGAGAACCTGGAGAACCTTTTGGACCTGTTGTTCCTTCCCTACCTGCAAAAGAAACAGCATATTTTGTAAAGAAAAATGAAGACAAGGACATGGATTTTGACAAGCTCCGATAATCACACCCAGCACTGAATGTTTCTGCTTGTTACATTGACTGCATCATCACAGACTGACCTGGCTTCAGGCTGCACCTAAGTCTATTAGCATTCTGACTTCACCTCTTTTAGGGCTTGTGCTCATATCAGTGGATGGAGCTGCATCAGGCTCTCACACTCATCACAACCTCAGGGCTAGTTCAAGGACTGCGTGCTGCAGACATGCCCATACCTGATTCTCATGCTAAAAGCAAAATCATTGGCATTTCCTACTATCCTGTTAGAAACAACAAGATAATTTACCAGGCATGCCATCTTGGCCACATGGCCCAGGAGAACCAGGAAGACCAGGTATTCCCGGAATATAGCTGCAATCAGTACACACATAAGCTTCATCACCTAGAATGAAAATAATTCATTAGTTGTTCCACAGCAAGTCATTCCCAAGCTTAACTAATGTGTTACATAGTTTGTTATAGAGGATGGCTAAGACTTTTTGGCCAGAGAGCGGTAGGAACACGGCCTTAATTTTGTTGGAAGATCACTTCCAACACAGTACAAAATTACCTGTGATCAGACAGTGAATCAGAACTGATTGCATTTAATTGAAAATGCAGGAACATTCAGTTTAAATCTCTTGATTTTTTCAAGTCTAGTTTTAGTAAACCATTTGGATATAGTCACTCTACTGATAAGCCAGATTCTCTCAAAAGAGGAAAGGGACATAGGCTTCAAACGAACATGGCTCCATAACAGCCTAGGTGACTTTAACGACTGGCAAGTGGCAAAGAGATTCAGCAGCTCCTGTGGTGATATTTGCAGAAGGAACCTTCTCTCAGAGAACAACTATTAGTGTTTAACATAACAACGGGAGAATAAAAAAACCCTACCAACCTGTAATAATTGTTTGTCCCAGTGAAGATCGATACCCTGGCTGCAGTGCTGTACAACTGCTGTGCAGCACTGGCATGTGCACTGCTCTTTTAGCTGCTGTTTACGGTAAGGGGAGGAAGACATCTTGCTATCCCTAATGAATTTTCTCAAATCTCTGAACTCATCAAATGGCTTAAGAGGTAAATTAAATTCAAAATTTCATGAGGATCCATGAAGATTACTGGATTGTACCATCTACTTCCGAGTGATACTTATCTGAAACTGACCTTTCATGCCAATATCTCCTGGAGGTCCCGGAGGTCCTGTACACCCTGGCTCTCCAGGAAGTCCTGGTAGGCCTGTTCTAAATGTTACTCTACCTGTTAATGAAACGAGCATGGCACCATTACATCAGCAGATTATTCAGACAATTCTCTATTTGCTAAGAGAGAAAAAAATTGCAGGGTTGAACTGGAGACAGTATTCTGATCCTTATGGGTCAAGTTGGTCCCTTCCAACTTGAGATTGCTTCCAACTTCTATGATTCTATGATTCATTTAAAAGAGAGAACTACCCAGATAAATCCAAAATGCCTAACTGGAAGCACATGAGGATAAATATGGTAATGCCAAAGTAAATCTCAGCAGACTGTTGGATCCATCTGTCTAGCCTTTAAAAAGCATAGTCCCTTCTGGGGAAAAGTATTTCCATTTTATTTGAATCAACAGAAACATAATTCTTTCTCCTACCAGGAATGGAAAGGAAACTTTTCTTTTAATCCTAAATTATTAATGCTGCTCATGTATCTTTGACAGAATTATTCTGGTGTATTTACTATTACTTTGGAAAAACAGAACATGCATTGAGTTCTTCCTGAGGTAATATATTTGGGGGATAGATATATTTTTCAAAGAGAGAGAAAAGAGAAGCACTACATTGGTATTGGTTCAGAAAAACTTGTTTTGGCCATACCACATATAAAAAATACATGATGCTGTTGGTACTCCTAGTTAGAGAGGTATTCCTAGTTAATACTTTTTCTAGAAGTTTTATAAACTGCTACTGCTTTATTTTCATGCTGCCAGAACTTCAAACCTGCTCTAAGGACCACTAAGACCTCTGGAGGCACGCAAGCGATTTCTCTAGCTTTCAGACTAGCCCCTTCTGAATTTACGTTTACAGATTTACTACAACTTTTGGAAGAATTAATTTTAAGAACAGATTTTCTTGCTTTAGTCTTTCCTGGTTTTATGTACCAGATTTTTATAGTCACGGTTATACAAAAAGGTGAGAAATCTTTATACTGGGAAGTCATTATATCTTCTGCACAGAATCTCATTAGCAATGAAGCACAGACCTTTGCTTCATGAATATCCCAAAACAAAATTTCCAAAGAGAAATTCTATTCAACCATATTACTCAAAATATACTCTATAAGTAATGTATTCATATAAACTCATACATTAGATATTGAGATGACTCTGGATTTGTTCTTATTCATTATACATACAGCACTGAAACTTCACCTGGTTCTCCTGGAGGACCTGGTAATCCAACAGAACCAGGGCTGCCAGTAATACCAGGTAGTCCTGGAGGGCCTACAATACACAAGCCAGTTTGTCCTTTCTCTCCTTTTGTTCCCTTTGGCCCAGGAAATCCTGGGGGACCTCTCAGACCAGGTCTTGACACACCTAACCGAAGAGGAAAAAATACAAAAACGAAGTTAAAGAAATGGAATTTTAAAACAAAGTAAGTACTCAATAGGATGAGTGAGAGACAAACATACTGAGTTCATCCCACAAATCTTTTTTATCTTGTAATATATAAAATAATCACAATGACAATGTAAAGACATTTAAAAATGATCTTTAACCTCCCTTTAAATACTTGGCCCATCAAAGCTTCTGGGTGACAATTTTTTACCATTAGAGATATGTCTGAAGTCATCTGAAGTTAAGATTCCACAAAGCTGACTCAGTACAATGGGCAGGAAAAACAATGTATTTTATTGTTGGTACTGGACCACTACACATACCTGGTCTACCAGCATCTCCGGGAGGACCCTGTGGCCCTGCAAAAGCAATGTATTTAGAACTTGAGTTAAACCACTGTATACTCTGCAAAGTCACTACTCATTAATACTGACTGCAAACTCTGGGCTTCTGCATTTTAAGCTTATTTTATCTTTTAAGAATTTGGTTTTCCCTGAGTAGGCACCTACTACTTATGCAACTGTTGTATACTGACAATTCTCACTGAAATCTGGCAAGATATGGATGTTTACAACACGTAGGAATAGGATCTGCCGCATTTATGGGGATGCACTCAATTACTTCAGAACAACTTACAGGCCTGCAAACTTGCTTCTTTGTGCCACTATTATTTGCTCTAGTAAATATACCACCTCTTAACAATGCATTAATACCTTTGCAAGGCTCAACTTTCCTGTTGCTATCCCTTGCAAGTATGTAAGTAGATTTGTAACAACGAAGAGTATTCACTGAATGCAAAACAATCACTTGGATACATAAAAATTTTGTAAAACTAGATCATCACTACACAGAAGGCAAGGACTTGCTGGATGAGTATAAGATATAGCCTACAAGATACTGTCTCAGTTCAGCCTGCAAGTTCTTCTCATATTGTGAGACAGCCCAAATAATAAATCAGTACATTTTAATTTTACAGCATGGCCAAAATAAACAAAAACTTGCAGATCTTTATTTTTTTTGAATGATAGGCAATAAAAAATGGCATAAGACAAACTATGAAAGCTACCAAAAAAAAAGAGAAAGCAGTGCATGACCTTTAATAGGAGACTTACAGCTCTGATGGTTTGTCTATGGCATATACAAATAATGTGCTGATGCAGCAGTCCACTAAGGTCATGGGACAGGATGTCAGTGAGCTTAGGTGCTCAACTCAATTATCTGCGCAGAGAAGTGTGCCAGCTTCATTATTTTTAAGAGGAAATACGGCCATAAATCAAAGTCTCAGGATACATTTCAATTCTGCAATTCGATAGGAGTAATTTGAAAATACTCTTGTAAAGGCAGAAGCAGGTTGCTGGGTGCTCAAAAACCTAGCCTGCAACAAGTCCTTTGAGTGGTCAGCTCTTGCTGAAAGATTCTAGTTTTGATGTCCTGCTCACCAGGCATGCCACGTTGACCTTTTGGTCCTGGAGGTCCGGGGGGTCCTTCATCTCCTTTTTCACCAACAACATTATCATAATACTCTGTCTTAAGAGAAAGATGGTAAGAAAAAAAAGAATAGTGAGAATGAAGAGAGAAGCACAGTGCCTCATATTGAACATCTGGTTAGAACAATGTTACGATCTCATTCATAATTTTGATGTTGTGACACCATGAGACCTTTCTAATCACATGGTACTTACAAGCAGCCAGAAATGAAATCGTAATTGTTATGCACAGATAATGCCAAGAGACTTGTATGAATAGATGGGGCTGGGATTTCAGCCCAATTCCTCAACTCCCAGAGAACTCCTCTGCCTGCAGATGCAGTTATACAGGCAAGGTATAAGTTGGAGACCCAATCATGAATATTACGGTAGCATGAAATAGAAAATATTCTTGAAAGAAACCTCTAGGAATCACTTAGTTTATTCTATTCTGCTCAAAGCAGCATCAGCTACATCTAGACTGCTCTTTTAAATAATCATAAATGAAAACAGACAAAAATCAACTACTTAAATCACATGTGCATTAAAAAGTCATTCCTCTAAAAATTAATACTTAATTTATTAAAGTTTAATATTATGATTAATATTAATTATATATTAATTATTATATTATATATTAGTTATATATA